ATGTGAGCAGAGTAAAATCAGTCCATGTGGCCCCTGTCTTCATCCCAGATCAGCTGTAGACAAAGCTTGGCTTGCACAACCTTTTCTCCTCTGTTCTCTTCTCAGTGTCCCCTAAGCACCAGCCAAGGAGAGATGAGTGTGTCTGGGTAGCCAGCCCCTTACCACCACTCCAGGCTCCTCAAGGCCATCTGGATGTCATGGCAACATGGGCAGGAAGCGGCTGCCATGGTAACTGGTGTCCAGGGAAGTGTGCTGCTTAGCAACAGGGACTGGGGCCACTCTAGCGCCTCGAAACACACTCCAGTTTCCCACACTTTCTGTGTGGCTGAATCTCTGCATCAGTCCGGGGCCCCCACCCAATTCAGACGCAGCCCCTTCTCCTGCATGGAGCGGGGGCTCCACACAGACCCTCACCCCAACCCAACACACTGATTTGCAGGGTGTTGAACACGTGTTAGCACAGCTGATGCCCCAAGCGGGAGGCTGCTGTGCTGCAGACCCACCCTTCTTCTCGCCTTCTAGACTCCCCCATCCCCCAGACATTCTGGAGCTCAAGACCATACAAGGACCATAGAGAGAGGGGAGATATCTTCAGGTCTGGCTCTGAGAGAAACCAGCCTTCCAGATAGAGCACAGCCCAACAAAGGTAAGGTGATCAGAGAATATGGGGTTCCGGGATAAGGTAGGCACCCTAGGGTCTCAGCATATGAGCATCTGGGTGCCCTTGGTACTTCCACAGCTGCTCAGCAACTGTAGCCCAACTCGGGCGCCTGGATTGTGACCTGAGGACCCTAGCCTATAGCCTTTGCGTAGTACTGTAGTCACACAAGATAGGAGTCTCTGTGTATCTACGGCACTTGCCAGGCTTGAGATACAGAACACAGGATGAAGACACCATCACCAACAATCACTGCTTGAGGTCTTTGCTGGGGCCCCTTCACCCCTAACCACAGCCACCTCATGCCAAATGCAATCCAAGGGCCCCCACCTTTGAGGCCATTATATCCTGGTAACCATGAAACCCCAGAGAGGAACAAACAGGCAGGGGGCTTGGAAGACCCTCCAGGGGCCTGAGTAGGCAGCTGCTGGGTAGTTTCGGACATGCTGAGGCAACTCGGGGCTCTTCCTATTGTGTGATTGCCAGCCTCTGCCTGTACAGAGTGAACAGATGTGCCCATCCTGGAAAAATGCAGAGCTGGTAGTGTGGCCAGCTGGGCCCAGACTGAGCTGTACTGTGGTATGCCCTGCTTCCTCTGCCACAGGTTATCAGTGGCTCCTGAGGGTCTGCATTCCAGGTCTACAAGACAACAGGAGACAGGCCATTTATCTGTAAAGGGACTTCAGTAAACTGAAGATGGGACACAGAGCTAACTCAGGGATACAATTTTCTGGGAACTGGGGACTAGCTGGGAGCAAGTGTGTACTCCAGTAATGATTATGGCAGCTGTCAACAGAATTATCTTGGCAAACTCCCTAGGTCTAGTCTTCATTCCAGACATCAGAGCTGGAGTAGGGAGATGTGTGGCAAGAGGCCTTCCTTCTCAGACCTGGACCTACAGTTAAAAAAAAAAAAGTACCTATTCGCTTTCTCAACTCCTTTATAAACAGAGACAAAAGGAAATTTGGATAGGTTTTTATTAGAATAGTGTCTGCTGGGAAGTCTCAAGAGCAAACCAAAAGAAAAACAGAACCAAAGAACCATATGGGAAAAGAGAAAATGTAATCAGAAAAAGATCTGTTTTCCCCCAAACCACTGTATCCTGAAAAGAGAAAAGGATACTTTGAAAAAAGAAGAGGTATCCAGGGGCCAACAGTAACACCTCAGCAATTAAAAATATGACCACTGAAATTCAATGTCAAAAAAAGACCATCACCTAGCAGTGTATCAAAGCAGATGCTGAGACTCATAACCAAACTTTGGGCCGAGTGCAAGGAATCTTATGAAAGAAGGGGGAGTTAGTAAGACCTGGAGAGGACAGGAGCTCCACAAGGACCAAATATATCTGGGCACAGGGGGCCTTTCTGAGACTGATTCTCCAACCAAGGACCATGCATGGATATAACCTACAACCCCTGCTCAGTTAGCCCATGGCAGCTCAGGATCCAAAAGAGGGACTGTCTCTGACATGAACCCAGTGGCTGGCTCTTTGACACCCCCCCCCAAGGGAGGAGCAGCCTAGCTAGGCCACAGAGAAGGACATTGCAGCCAGTCCTGAAGAGACCTGATAAGCTAGGGTCAGATGGAAGGAGAGGAGGACTTCCTCTATCAGTAGACTTAGAGAGGCACAGGGAAGAGATGAGGGAGGGAGGGTGGGATTGGGAGGGAATGAAGGAGGGGGCTACAGCTGGGATACAAAGTAAATAAACTGTAATTAATATAAAAAATTTAAGATATATATCTTTATATATATATCTTTATATATATATATATATATAAAGACCATCATGAACTACCTAACACTTTGGTCAACTACAGGTCACATGTGGCCCCATAACAATATCTAATAGCAAGAACTGAAAATGCAAATGGTAGATGTTTGCTTATCATGTGCAAAGCCCTGGGTTCCATCCCCATCACTGCTAAAATAAATAAATAAATAAATAAATAAATAAATAAATAAATAAATAAATAAATAAATAAATAAATAAATAAATAAATAGATAAATAAATAAATGAATAAATGGTGGTAATGAAAAACTCACATCAACTACTTCTGTTGTAGGCATTGCTTTGTTATATCCCTCACCCTTGTAGTGGAGACAGCAAGAACAACTCCCACTGAACTGACAGATGAATAAAGTGCAGACATACAAGGCGCAGAACCCAACACTGCAAGATGACAATAAATGGCTATGCTAATCCCTTACGCTTTTACTATATGAAACTCTTGCTTTAGTGTGGTCTTTGTATGTGTAATTTATTGTAAGATGCGGCTGAGTTCCATGAGAACGGTTCTCTGACACCTTGTGCCGTGCGCCTCCCGAGGACACCCTATAGCAGTGCAGGAGCGGTGGGTTCTCACACCCAGGTCCCATGTGGCCCAGGTGTGTAGGAAATGGCACCATCTAGGCTTACACAAGTATACTTTAGAATGACAGATTACCTGCTGGCAATTTCCTCAGAACGTACCCCATCATTAGGTGGCACAAGGCTGTGTATAAATGAGGACTAAGAGAGCTCAGTCAGTGACAAAGCGCTTGCCACTGGTGCCTGGTCCCCAGAAGCTTTGTAAGGAGCTGGGTGTGATGGCTCACACTTGTAATCCCAGGGCAGTGGGGCTGCCTGGCCAGCTATCTTGGTTTAATCAGAGCACTCCGGGTCCCAGTCGGAGACTCTGTCTCAAACAAAACAATGAACATCACATCTGACACTCTCTTCTGGCTCTATGGACATAAGGCATGCACACAGCGAACATGCAAGCAGGCAAAACACACATACACATAAAATGCAAATAAGTAAGTTACATACACACAAAATAAATAATTTTAAATTAAGGGAGCATTGGGACTTAAAGGAATTGACATACAAATATCAAAGACACAAAGAGACCCAACATCTGCCTGGGAGCTCCAAACAACTGGAAAAAGCAGAAGAGATTTCATCTATGAGATGTCCCACCCAACATGGGACATCCATGGGGTAGCAGAGGTGGCTCAGCAGTTAAAAAGCAGCTGCTGCTCTTGCAGAGGACCAGAATTCAGTTCCCAGTACTCACAGCAGGGGCTCACAATCACCTGTAACTTGTTTCATGGGATCCAGCGCTTTCTTCTGGACCCTGTGTGCATGTGCACACACACACACACACACACACACACACACACACACACACACAGGAAAGAGAGAGAGACAGAGACAGAGACAGAGAGATGAATAAAAATATTTTAACTATTAAGAATAAAAAAAAATCATCTAGGCTGAGGAGAAGCTCAGGGATGAAATGCTTGCCTTGTACCTGAGACCCTAGATTGCATCTCCAGCACTGCTAATAAAGCATGCCACTTGGCCACCGAGCACTAAGCAAGACATCTGTCAGCATGGAATGCCAGGGCCTCTGGGGTCAGAGAGGGCCCTCAAGGCTCTGGACTGGGTTCAAGCTCATGGAAGCAGAGAACATCCTCAGAGTGGCATTCCAGCCCTCAAGTCAGAGTAAAGGACTCTAGACCTGTGTGGTGTCCTGTTAGCCATTCCTGTTTCTAAACTTAGACAATAGCATGGCTGATTTAACCCTGGGCTCAGGGTTACTGGCAACCTGACTGGCCCTGACGGCATAATCAGTAGGGTGGGGTGATGATGACCTTGCCCTCCCCACCTAGAGAGGTTTGACCGTGGGGTAGGGGCAGCCGCCATTTCTGCCACACTTGATTTTTCCCAGGGCTCAGCTTTCTCCAGAGCCAGCCTTCTGAGACTGGTTGGGCACCGTGAACTTTCCTCCACACACAGAGAAAAGATGTAGTCTCGGGGGCTTCAGGGACAGTGGGAACAGGACTGAGGTAGGAGTGGCCCACTAGCCTGCCTTCTGCCACAGCCCTAGCCCTAGCCCCGGCCCATTGTGACCTCCTTGGCTGTACCCAGGCCTTTGTGACTGTCACCCTGGCTAGATTTGTGAACCAGAGTGACATCTAAAGTGCCCTCAAAGAGAGTGGCAGGTCAGCCAGGCCGGAGCCTGGACCTGGGGTCAGGAAGGGGTCACAGGGAGGAATGGAAGGGCCAAAACCCCTGGGACCCTGCGGACACTCTCACCCCCAGTGTCCCTCAGCCCAAGTTTCAAGAAGCCATGGAGGATGCCTGGATCAGCCCTGTCAGGGATTTGTAAGGTGGCCCTGTCTGATGCCCCATCAGGTCACCCAGTCAGTAGAGTGTTCCAGAAGTTTCCTAGCTCCAGGGACACGGGGAGGAGAATCCAGAGTAGGAGGAGAGGCCCGTAGGATGTTTCTGTCAAGTGAAGAAGGAGCGACGTCGCAGCAGAGAGCTCGAGAGCCAGCAGAGTCCAGACAAGAAGTGGAGGGTGAGGTAGGAATGGGGCTGGTCCCTGCACCCGGGGCATGAGCAGGAGCCACTTGGGCAGACAGGGTCCCCAACACCCAGCCCATGCCCAGCCAGGCCTCTGGAAGGAGAGGCCACAGCCTCACCCAAGACAGCTCCCACACCCCTTCAGGGCCAGAAGCTGGGGTCTGCGGAACAATCCTTTCTGCAGTTGGAACAGGAGAACCACAGCCTGGTGAGTGCAGCCCATGGGCCAACGTGCACACACTGCTCCTCAGGACCCCTGCCCCAGCCCACCCACAGGCCACCAGAACAGGTGCTCCCCATCTCTCTGTCCCCCACCCCTAGAAAAGGCAGAACCAGGACCTTCGGGAGCAGCTAGGAGCCCTCCTGGGGCCCAGGGAGCAGTTCCTGCCTCTGTGTGCTGACCACTCAAGCTGCACAGCCCTGGCCTGGGTAAGTGGATGCACACAGCCCCGGACCCATGCAGCAGCACCTCCAGCTGTCCACAGCCTTGGGCATGGCCTGGGGGCTCACCCACAGTCCCCTGAGTCAGCCAGCACCTGGCCCCTGGAAGACAGGGCACCTGTGCAACTCTGCCAGGGGGAAGAGTCTTTTGTGCAACAGTCCCAGGTGGGCCCTGGGGAGAGGGGCTTGGCCTGGGGATCAGGAGCAGGTTCTTGTGCCCACACTACTCTTCCTCATCCAGAATGAGCTGCAACAGATCCGGCTGTCCTTTGAGAGGAAGAAGATGGCCATTACTGAGGTGCCTGTTTGGCCTGTGGTGGGAGGGAGCTCCTGCTACGCCTTGCTTCTTGAGTGTGGTGCAGACTCCATTTCTCTGTCCCCAGGTGTGGGATGGTGTGGCTGAGGTGCACATGGCTCTGAACAACCAGGCCACTGGGCTCCTGGTAGGTCATCAGAGGGCCACAGTGGAGATGATGGACACAAGAGGCAGTGGAAGGACAGAAGGCTGGTTTCACTTCCTCTGCCTCCTAGAACCTCAAGAAGGACATCCGGGGCGTGTTAGATCAGATGGAGGACATTCAGCTGGAGATTCTGGGGTGATGTGGAGACCCTGGGCGAAGCCCCTTCTCTGATATCCAGTCCTATAGCAGGGGTGGTGCCAGGCTGGGGACAAGGGTTTGCACGATCCTGACAGTGTGATTCCTCCAGGGAGAGGGCCCATTGCCGCACTCAGGCCAGAAAGCAGCAGATGTCCTGCACGGAGGTAAGTCCCCACTCCGGGTCCTGCTAGGGAGATTCTGGGAAATGGACTTCAAGGACCAGGTCTCAGAGCTAGAGCCCAATGGTTCTAAGAGATTAGCACTGGGAAGGGAGGGGAAACAGGGACACAGCTGGGTTAACCCACAATGGAATCTGTTCATTGTGAGCATCTCAAGTCTAGGGACCTGCCCTCCCCCAGGGACCCCCAAGGTACTGAGGACAGGCTCTGACCCAGCCCCCTCCCCGACAGAAAGGCAGGCAACAGCTGGGATGTTCCGAGGGCCTAAAGGGCCAGCTCTGGTAGGTCACACTCTGGGCAGAACCCGGTCCCCCCAGGATCATCCCCATGGGCATTCCCTACCCCTTAATTGCCACCGCCCACCTGCAGGCTGCTGGCCTTGAGGCTGCTGCTGGGCGCTCTGCTGGCCTGCACAGCGGCCTACGTGTACGTGGTGGACCCTGCACCCTTCGAGGGGCTGGTACCACCCCTGCTGAGCCGAGCCGCCGTCTGGAAGCTCAGGGCCCTACTGAGTCCCTTCTTGAGCCTCGAAGTGGACGACTTCCTGCCTTTCTAGACTGGAAGCCCAGCAGCACCAGCAAGGAGGCCAGGTGGCTGGTCCTGCCCCAGGGGCCCGGGGGCCTTACTGGCCCCTGCCTCCAGCACCCGTGCACACAGTCCCCACCAGGAGTTGCAGAGAAGGGTGGAGGAGGGGCTGGTCCTGAGGGCTGGTCCTGCAGCTGGATATACAGTCATGACACACTTTGCATGTAAGCTTGTTTCCATGGAAACCGGGGCTTTGGGGGCCAGAGGTTTGGAGCCTTTCTGAGGCACTCCATTGGTCTGGTGGTAGGGTTTTGGTGGTGGGGTCTCTGCCTCAGATTGCGGTGTTGGGCCCCTGTCTGGTCCCAAGGGTATTTCTCCACAAAGGGTCCTGCAGCTTGAGGGCGTGGCAGGATGGTCTTCCCTAAAAGCTGACAGCTGGGGAGTTCCTAGCACCCTTGGTGCTCTTCTGGACCAGACCTTCCCAAGGACCTTACAAGTCAGAGCCCTGAATCTGCTGACCGGGGCTATCAACCCCTCAAGCAATGGGCCTTGTCTAACTCAGCCTCCTGGCTCTCTCCAAGGCTAAAATAAGGGGAATTCACACTACTGGATAGTGCCATGGAGGTAAGCACAGAAAAAAATTTATTAGGGAAGTTGAGAGAGGGAAATCCTGTAGAACAGAAAAACAACAGCTTTGTAGATCTATGTCCCCAAGTGGGAGACTCAGAACTGCTGCCCAGAAGTGATCCCAGGACAGGGCCCCTGTGTGAAAGGGGGGCCTGCAGGGGTTCTGTTCTGCTCTCCCCCCATGGGCATCCAGGCCCACAGGCTTGGTTATTTCCAGAGGTATCACCCTGGGACACAGAAGACCCAGGTGGGGTCAGAGCAGGCAAGAGGCAGAGACGGATGGACCGGGTCCATGGTCCACCAGGCTGGCTGGCAGCTCCAGGACTTTAAGGCATCTGTTCATGTGCTTGGGGTGGAGTGGAGGGGTGCAGTAACCTGCAGTGACCTGAGACCCCCACCCCAGCCCAACCCACAGAGGCCTGGACTCCCTGGAGGAAGTGGTTTAAAGTGCTTGGAAGGGGTAGGGAGGTTGGGGTGAAGGTCATGCTGGTTCCCAGTAGCTCTGGGGCCACCCCCAGTAGGGCACTGGACCCTTGCAGCAGGTGGGGGTTCTTCCTGAGGTCACCTGGACACGGGGTTATGGGCCCTAGCAGACCGTTAAGTCAAGATGTGGCTGGCTGACAGGGAATGGACAGGGATCTCCAGGCTACATCCATCCCCACTCCAAGCTCTGTAGCAGCCTGGTCTTCTGGGTCCCCAGCAGGTTGTCCACAGCCCTGGAGCCACCTACTAGTGTTCTATTAGGGACCTGAGAAGCTGGGGAAAAGGCTGGATGCAGCGGAATGTAGCCGACAAATGGTCCCACGGGGGGCCGCCCCGGCAGCCACGCTCCAGGGGGCCCGCAGCGGCGGGTGATCCTCAGGATGACCGAGGTGGCACAGGTGCAGGCCGGGAGTCCCCCTAGGAGGACCACGCCACCCCCATCCACGGCTACAGGTGCCAATTCGCCCCCTGTGGGCCGAGGTCCGTGTGAGAGAGAAGCAGAAAGGTGGAGGTCAGCAGGGGATACAGCTATGAGCCCCTCCTCCCCAAGGCTCTGGACATCTCCCGAGTCTGAAAATCCCTCCCTGAAACACTGGACCTTGCCCCAGGCCTTTCCAGCCCTGCTCTGAACCCCAGCTCAGAAAAACATGAATTTCTGGCACTCACTTGGCATATGGCAGAAGAGAGTATATTCTAGAAAGTACAGTCATTTTTATAGGGTTCTCAGCCGGATGTTGGCCCCATGCGCACTTTCCATTTGCACCTGCTCCAAGCCCTTTTGGTAGCTTGGAGTCCTAGGAGGCAGCTGTGGTCCTAACCTTTCACCAAACACCCTGTTGTCCAGCATGACACAGACTGGGCTAAGAGGCCTCTGCACTTACCAGCAGGAGGTCTGTTACCAACTAGCCCTGACCTGACCTGCCGGCAGAAATGGCCAATAGAAATGTGCCACACTGCGCCAGCTGGCCAACCCCTTTCCTGACACCCACCCTGCACCCACAGCCATAGCCTTGCCCAAGGAAAGGATCAAAATGGTTTTTCCTTTTTTTAATAAAATTATAGATATATAGATGTAAATATAAAAACATAGAACATACACAATGCAAGCGGACGCTGCCATGTGCTTACTCGGGTCCCTGACGCCAGGGGGAGAACTGACCCCTCCCTGATGTGCTTTCCAGCGGCACTAGCCAAGCCAGTGCTGGGAACTCTGTATGCTTGGGGGTGAGGACTCTCCAGTTTGGCAGGGAAGGCCTGAGAGGGAGGGAGGGGGCTCTAGGCCCCACTATTCCCTGGGGCAGCATCTGGCCCCCTCTCTGCTCTGGCCCATCCCCCCACCCCCCACAAGAGCATAAAGCAGAAGTTAAGGCTTTGATGAAGAACAGTGGCAGCCGGGCACTAACACATCAGACGTGGCACGGCAGCACAGCATACAGACACAGGGACATAAACCCACCAGCCAGGCAAGACAGAACAGAGGGAGCTAGGACCCCTGCTACAGCTGGATTATCTGTCCATCCGTCCTTCTGTCCATCCCAACCCACAGCAGGCCAGGGTTTTGCTCCCTGCAAAGCAGAGGCCTTGCCAAGCAACAAGCTACCAGCTAGGTCAGTGAAAGGCCATGTATCGGGAGCAGCTGGGAGAACAGGGCTGCAGCAACTCATCCAGACAGGAGTGGGTGGGCCCGTGGGACTGTCGGGGCTGGCCTTGGGGAATGAGGGCAACAGGGTGCAGGGCTGAGTTTGGCTGATGGAGTCAGTCCGGGTCCCCATCACAGCCCACAGCCGTGGATCCAGCTGCCCTTGTGAGGAGGTAAGTGGATGAGCAGGCAGAAGCCGGAGCACAAGCTCGTGGAGGCAGGGCTTTCTTTCCTGTTGATGTGTCCACACCAGGCTTGGGTAGCCTCCTCTCCCTGGGGCAGAGAACTTGATGGGGTTGGGGAGCTACTGTGGGGGTCCTGGTCCCCGTGGAATCACAGCAGATGAGTGGTGGCCAGTTCTCACACCGAGATTTCGTACGTAGTCCCACCCACGCCGGACACCTTCTTAACCAGCGTGTGCCGGGCAGGACTGGCGTTGGGCCCCATGGGGCTGGCAGCAGGCCCCAGACGGGCCATGCCCGGGGACTGCCCGTTAAGCTTACTTGGGGGGGTCTTCAGCTGAGGGTGATCCCTGCATCAAAACAAGCACATACACACACATGCACACACAGTGAACACGGGACAGTAGGCGATAGGACACATGCAGATATGGACTGGAGCCCTGTGTCCTAGGCCCTGGGCAGTCCTTGACCTTAGGATTGTGCTGTCACGGAACAGACAAACATTGCCAGAACTGCTTTCATCCTCATGGGCACCTTGCTTTCTCCCAGTTGGATAGGCCAAAGAGCAGCTATCCTGAGTGTCTGGGCCCTACCTTGCCCACAGGGCTTGAGGTTAGGAAGCCCAGTAGTGGACTCGTAGCTCTTTCCCCAGCCTTTCAGGAAAATGAGGGGTAGAATTCTTATCCTCTGGCCTGTCCAGAGCTACTATTATTCCCCTGAGGGAACTGTAGCTAGTTTCCCTAACAAATCACTCCTGAAAAAAACCAAATAGGCTCCTGCACAGGTGGGCATGACCCACAGACCCTTTTAGCCACATAGCCTAAACAGGGGTTTCCTCTCAGGCCTCACCTGAGACCAAAACAATGAAAGCAGTGCTCAGGTGCCTAGGTCCCACCTGCCCTTCCCCATTTTTAAGCTGTCGTCTGTGGCAGCATGCTCTCTACAGATCAGTTATGTTGAGGCACTATCCCTCAGCCTCAGCATGCTGAACATACGTCAAAACCTGGGGAGTTGGAAGGCCACAGACCCACGTGAAGCGAGTTCCGGGAGGGCTCACAGCCACGCCTGTGTTGGCTCAGCATGCAAATGTGTATGTCCCCACACAAAAGTCAGGGCCAGACATTCCCAAACAGGGGAAACTAGGAGCCGTGAAGGCAAGGTAAGGCCTACCCACCTTGCACTGTCCTTAGAGACAACCACGGGTCTCCAGGATAAGCTGGGAGAACCAGGTGACAGGGGGTCCTGCATGAAGAAACCCATCTACACTTCTGGGCACTCACCTCTGCATAGCCAGTGAGGGTGGCCGGTCCGGGAGGTCCGTGTGGATGAAGGCAACAGCCTTGGAGCCTGTGTAGGAGGGCGATTGGGGGGTGCCTGGTGGGGAAGGCAGGCCCTGACGGGCAGGTGACCTGTGTGAACCACTGCCAGGCCGGGGTCCTGGAGCATTGTTGTTGGCCTGGTCAGCCTGTAGGGAGGAGGAGGACGTCCGAGGTGCCCGACTCACGGAGCTGGACAGTGAGGACAATGATGTCTGCAGGGCAGGGTTTCGTGCACCACCGAAGCCAGGCCCAGTCACAAGGTCATCCCTGGAGCCATACCGCAGCACAGAGCCACGGGGCCCTTCCGCTAACACACTGGCCTGCTGCAGGCTGTAGGAGCTGGGTGTGTCATAGACACCAGAATCGCCGAAGAGTGAGTCAGTCTGGGAGCGCAGCAGCCGCTCACGCTCTTCTCTGTCCTTGCGCTCCTGGATAGAGGCCATGATGGTCCGAGACAGGTTGTCGTAGCGCACGGGAGAGGGCTCCCTGGGCCTGGGACCCAGCACAGGGCTGAAGCTGCGGGACGGGGGCCGCGGCGGATCTGAAGGCCCAGGGTGCAGGTAGGGCGAATGGTAGCCGGCCATGCCAACAGAGGGGTGTGTGGGGCGTGCGTGGCCACTGGGTGAGCCAGGGTTAAGTAGGCTGTCATAGGATAGGCTGCCATTTCGGTTGGGCAGAGCATGAGAAGCAAAGAGACCACGGTGGGGGGTGGGGGGCCCACCTTCAGGGCGCAGTGGCTGTAAGGTCATGTGGTCCCCACCCCGCCGGCTGGCAGCCTTGAGACTCAGGGAGCGTAAGGCACCTGAGAGGGTATCAGTGGCACTGAGGGGTGGGGAAGGGGGATAGGTAGGGTGCAGACCACCAGGCCCGTGGTCTGGGAGATCCAGGCTGGGCTCGGACACAAAGTCTAGACTGTGGGTGCTGTCATCTGCCAGAGTAAGGGAGTCAG